TATGCTTGACAGGCTCCCCTCACACCAGCCTCAACTGCAGCATAGATGAGCCATTGCTGACACCAGCTGGGGGATCCCACCTACCTCTTTCTCTCTCTCATTCAGGGACCCCAGGGAGGAAGGCTGAGGTGGGGTGGTTAAGTCCTGAACTGTGCAAAAGGGCAATTTTGTAGCCGCCGCTGCCAGATGTGAGAGTTGGATGGAAAAGACCAACCCCCAGGGGCAGTGTTGGGGGGCAGCATTGGGGGGTGCTGCCCTGGCCTGACCAGATCCAGGGCTAGAGGTGGAGATCCCCAGAGGTGTGGCCCTTAAGGCAGGGGTCCTCTCTGGATCGCCCTGCTGGTTTTTGAGCAGCACTCAATCCAGCAGAGGCCAGTCCTGGGGGTGGGACTGGGGGGGGCGGTGTCTGCCTTTCAGGAAACGTCGCAGGTGATTCTGATGTCTTGCTGGATGGAGAAGCACCGCCTTTTCCAATAACCCTTCTTTTAGCTTGATTCTGCGTAGGAGCAAATGGTTTGAGGCTGTGCTCACATTCTCTGCCATTGGCTGAAGGGAGAAAGCTGTGAGCTGAGGAAGGCGTGTGCAGGTAACCCGTCTGTATCTAGGGGGTTAAGGAGAGTTCACTGAGAAGGGGTAAAATCCCCTAGTTGTGCATGCGTTGTGTTTTAGGTTACAACACTAATACACATACCTTACAAAACTGCAAATATAGAAATACGCGTGGATACGCGTGGTTAAAAAAAAGTTCCTTCCCCATCTCATTCCACATACTCCTCAGAGGGAAGCATGTTAGCAGTTTGGGATGTATTCTTCCAAATCTATAAAGAGCTCTTTCCTGTCCCTTTTGGGAGACCACATGTGCTTGAGTGGTAGGCGCGCTGGGTTCCCACACAGACTGGAGTTCAAAGCCTGATCCTCTTTTTTTTTTTTTTCCCGCTTTTATTTATTTTTAAATTTATTATTTTTAAAAAGCCTGGCTCCTCTTCACCCCCCTCTGTTTTTTTCAACAAATACTAATTTGGATCTTCCTTGGTGCCAGTGTTTGAAATGCTGGGAACACAGTGTCCCTGCCCTCGGGGAACTTGGGGGGCCTACCCAGTGGGGACAGAGAGTAGCAAGTAAAGGAATGCAGGGAGTTTACGATAATGACGGTGCTATTGAGGAAAGAAAGTGACCACTGGGTGTGTGTCCTTGCTAGTCTAGACAGGGCGGTCAGGGCGGCTTCTTCTTGGAGCGACGTTTGAGTTGAGACCTGAACTGTGATGAAGCATGGGGTGGGGGAGTGTGTCAGGTAGAGACAGGATGCAAGGTAGGAAGAAGTTTGTAATGTTGGTGGACAGAAAGAGGTCACAGAGTGGAGCAGGGTCAGGGGAGGGAGAGAAGTAGGATATGGGTCAGAGGAGTCAGCAAGGCCTGAGGCCTTCAGGCGGATTTTATAAATACCAGGAGAAGTCCTGCGGGAGGGCTGTAAGAGGGCAGCGGCTGGCTGCCGTGGGTCCTGGTGAAGGAGGTATGGTCGGGGGCAGTAGAGAGCCAGGGAGGAGGTGGTCGTAGGTCAAGATGAGAAGCGTGGTGTCACTGCAACTGGCCAAAGGGCTTAACGCCTCTGACCCTGTTTCCCTGGCTGTTAAATGGGAATAGTAACTACTTTGTTGGATTCTTGTGAGGAATAAAGGGAAAAAACACGTAAAGCCATTGTTACACTGCCTGGCACACGTTAGAATCTGGTAATGGTTATTGCTCTTGGCCTCTTGATCTGTTCTCTGTTACTGGGTAAACTTGAAAGTTAAATAAAACTTGGAAACCTTTGGAGTTTTACAATTTTCTAAAATTTTCACCCTCTAAAAGTAGGAAAGAGGAGAGAGGGTCCTGGGTCACAGGATCCTGGCTGTCCCAGCACAAAAGACAGTGGGGTTGGGGAGGACAGAGCCAGGATGGGGCGTGCCTATGGGAGACGGGGCGTGCCTATGGGAGACGGGGCGCTGCGGCCCCTCCACACAGGCGAGTTCTCGCCCAGCACCAGGGAGGGGATGTTGAAGCCCCTGGTTGGGTTTATCAGTTCACATCTGAAACTTGTGTACAGTGGCTCCCCCGCTTCCTGCTCAGAGCCCCCTCTTTCTCTGCTGCTGCTTCTGGCGCTGAGCCCTCCAGCCCTAGTGCAGCCCCCTAACCTCCCCTGTCTCATCTCCACCCAAGCCCAAGTCAGCCTCGGCTAGATTTGGGGAACCACTGGTCACCCTCTTTGGAAAGTCAGCACAGAGCCTTCTCTGTGCCCCTCTGCCCATTTGTTGTCACCTCTTCTGCTGGGTCTGCTGGGCACACAACTCTGCAGCCCACAGGGTGCTGAGAGGCACGAGGTGGAATCCCAACCCTCTGGGTCTGGGGCCCACTCCAAACACGAGGTCAAAAGCGCTCTGAGAGAGAAGTGTGAGCAGGTGTGGGCTCAGGACACATGTCTCCTCCATAGAAGGGGAGGGGGCTGTCTTAACTCAGACAACACCCCAGGGCCCCAGTTCTGCCCCGGGGAAGTTGCTCACCACCCTCTGGGATTTGGGGAGAGAGCTCCTCTGCTATCCTGACCCAGCCTTCCCCCTTTCCCCTTATGCAGAGGCCCTGGAGGTAACTCAACTCTTGGCTGTGCTGCTAGTGATAATAATAAGAATAAAGATAGGTAGCATGCACAGAGCACTTGGGACGTGCCGGGTACTGTTCTAAGGGCTTTCCACTCATTATCTTATTTAACCTTGACGTAACTCTGAGATGGGCATTAAACCCACTTCCTAGATAAGGTGAACTCAGATCTGGCTGATAGCAGCCTTTAGGTTCTTTCTGCTTCTCTAGTTTTCTACCCCCTTAACATCCTTCTTGGGGACCTCTGGCCGTCGGCATCCTTCCTTCTCAGCGTCCCTCTCCCCACCAGCCCCTTCTCCGTCCCCCAACTGCCCAGGCCCCGCCTCCACCTGCCAGAAAAGCACTTCCCTCTTCCTGACTCACTCCGATAGGAGGCCCAGACCCCTTTCTCCTTGACCGTCTTTAATCTGGCACTTGGAGTCCCCAGAGCTGGCCCTGAAGGTCACCCCCACTTCCTGGGGCTCTTTCTTCTGCTTCCCCCACAGTGGGGGACTCCGTCCTGGTCTGCTTTCTTTCCACTGTGGTCTCATCACGGGGCAGCACCCAAGACCCTGCCTTCAGTGTAACCAGAAGTCTCTGTGGTCTCCAGGAGCCTTGTGGACCCTGGTCAGGTGCACTGCTGCCCTTGCCCCCATCCCCCGCTTCGCTCTGTGTTCAGCAGCCACCAGGTCAGCTCCATTCTTCTGCAACGTTCTGCCCCTGTGACCTTCCCTCTCTGGCCTCAAGCCTCACGCTTTCTTACTGAGACCAACTCAGCAGCCTCCTGACAGAGCCCCCTGCCTCTCAGGGACCCACCTTTGACCCAGCACCCACCCCGAGGCCAGGCCATTGTTCAGCTTACAGCTCTGACCTCACCACTGCCCTGCCTGCAACTCTTCACGGGCCCCTGTAGTCAGTCTTTAACTTGGCTGTTCAGGTGCCAACATCAGTACAGTGTTTTTGGTTGTGTGTCCCCAGTGCACATTCACTCATCTAATAATTCTATACATCTTGTGGCAGCCAGCCTTCAAGATGGACCCTGATTATTCTCACCCCCTGGAATGCACACTCTCGTGTGGTTCCTTTCCACACTGGGGAGCCACTAGGATGCTGTGGAGACGATGGAGTGTTACTTCTGAGGCTAGGTCATAAAAGAAATTGCAGCGTCCACCTGGTGCTCTCCGATCATTAGCTCTGGGGGAAGCCAGCTGCCATGTTGCAAGGACACTCAAGCAGCCCTGTGGAGGGGCCCGTGTGGTGAGGAGCTGAGACCTCCTGCCAACAGCCAGCACTAACTTGCCAGTCTTGTGAGTGAGTCATCTTGGAAGCTGATCCTCCAGTCTCAGTCAGGTCTTCAAATGACTGTAGCATGGCTATACATCCTGACTGCACTCTCATGAGAGACTCTGGGCCAGAACTAACCCGCTAAGCTGCACCCAGATTCCTGACCCTCAGAAACTGAGTGAGATGATAACTGTTCTTCGCTTTAAATTGCTCAGTTTTGGAGCGATCATTTTACAGCAGTAGATCACTAACACACATTGACCACTGTACAAGTCTATTATGCACATGATAAAACACATCCCCAAGTAGAAATCTAAAGAAAAGGGATAAAAATATATATAAAGTGTTTGGTTTTGTTTTTTGGTTTTGTTTTTTTTTTGCCACGCCACACAGCTCGAGGGACTTTAGCTCCCCACCAGGGATTGAACCCGGGCCCTCAGCAGTGAAAGCCCAGAGTCCTAACCACTGGACCTCCAGGGGATTCCCTAAATAAAGTTATAATGTTTTCTTGCCACACCCTCTTTTTTTTTTTTTTTTCCCCACAGTGCTTGGGTTTTATTTAACATCACTTCCGTGACCAAGAGCCAGCCTGGAATCCACAGTCAGGATGGAGCCGCATGGGCCACAGTGCACCAGGACCCGCGTCCTCCCAGCCTGCCCTGCACTCACAGGTTTTAGAGCCCTTGTAAAATGAGCTCCTATAAGCAGCTGCTTCTCGTGGAAACTCAGACACCGGTGGGTGGTTCAGGGTGGGCGGGTCAGGGTGGGCTCCTCATTGCTGGTCTTCTTTTATTTCAGTCTAAGCTTGTTCCAAATCCTCTCCAGGGCCACTTTTCCCATGAAGAAGGTGATGGCAAAATTACGCTTGTACCAGTCCCTGTTACAATACATGTGCTTCCGAAAATGTTTACTTAAAAATTCCTTGTAAAAGTCAGCCATTTCGGGCTTCCCTGGTGGCGCAGTGGTTGGGAGTCCGCCTGCCGGTGCGGGGGACACGGGTTCGTGTCCCGGTCCAGGAGGATCCCACATACCGCGGAGCGGCTGGGCCCGTGAGTCATGGCCGCTGAGCCCGCGCGTCCGGAGCCTGTGCTCCGCAACGGGAGAGGCCACAGCAGTGAGAGGCCCGCGTACCGCAAAAAAAAAAAAAAAAAGTCAGCCATTTCTTCTGCATTCAATGTTGCTTTTTGACCTGATTCAGCTCTCAGTTCCAGGCCTTTGGCTTTTAGTCTTGAGTCAATAAATTCTTCTTTTTCCTAAAAGAAGACAGCTATCAGAACTCCCTTTCTTCGTCTTTTTGTTTTTCCTTGGCTAGGACACAGCTCTCAGTGCTCTGGAGAAGTCTGGATGTGGATTTCCTGAGAAGTGGCCCATCTCAAAGCCTTTAGAAAAGTCAAATTCTGGTTTGCCCAGAACTGTTGGTTCCATTCTTGTGTTTCTTGTCTTAATTCTCTTAACTTTTGTTCCAATGGTGATTCATTTTCAGGGATGTAAAAGTGAACAGGTTGAAGGTTGGAATATTTATCTGGGGGTCCTATCCAATCATGGCAAGATTTTCTTGGAGGGCAGAATCTTGAGACCTGCTAGTGTTGGAGGGTTTCCTGCAGAGGGGGGATGGCCGTGGCTCACCGTGGGGACAAGGACACTGGCAGCAGAAGTTCTGGGAAGCATTCCTTGCCGCCTCTTGCCACCTTCTTAATGGATGATCTTGTGATACCCCTGGGGCACATGCTCCCCCAGTTTGGAGACCTCTGTGCTTCTGAATGACATTCAAGATGCCTCACCCTGAGACTGAAGGCCCTCCTCAGGGTGGCCCAAGCTACAACTCTGGACATTTCTCCCACTCTTTCCAGGGTCACTTGCTTATTACAGCTGATAAAAATCCTTCCTGTTCTTTCAGGCCAGCGTCACAGACCTCCCCTAGGGAGTCTGGTGGTGGGATTCCCAGGTTTGGAGCCTGGCCTCTCTGAATTGCTCTCTGCACGTGCTCCATATCCCAAGGTGAAGTGTACTCAGAGGGGACAGCGTCGCTTTGCATGAAGAGGCAGAGTTCTAAAAGTGGCCCCCAAGATTCCATACTGTCCTCCCCAGCACCTGCGGACATGCTGAGATATCTCTCTCACAATTGTTATGTTATGGGGAGTGACCCTTACCTATGGCCATACACACTGTACAGGGGGCTGGCTTGTCAACCCGGTGTGTCGTGTTGTTTGTCTGGCTTTCTTCATAGCGTCTCATCACTTCTGACTCCTGTTCTTGAGTTGTTGTGTATGTCATGTACACAGCTGACCTTAGGACAGGAAGATTCTCCAGGTGGGTCTAATCGAATCCCAGGAGCCCCTTTGAAAGCACAGGGGGAGTCAGAGAGATCTGCACCTTGAGGAAGATTCCAGGCACTGTTGCTGACTTTGCAGATGGAGGGGCCATGCGATGAGGAAGGCAGGTGGCCTCGAGGAACAGAGGGTGGCCCCCAGACGACAGCCAGCAAGGAGATGGGGACCTCAATCCTACGGCTGCAAGGAACTGGGTTCTGTCATCAACCTGAAGGAGCTTGGGAGCAGATTCTTCTCCTTTGCCTCCAAAAATGAATACAGTCCTGCCAGCACCTTAATCTCAGCTTTGTCAGACCCTGAGCAGAGAAGCCAGCTTGGACTTCTGCCCTACGGAGCTATGAGCTAATAAATCGGTGTCATTTCAAGCCACTAGGTTTGGGTTGCATTGTTACTCTGCAATAGAAAATGAATACATGAGGCTGTGTCCCTGAAGACCTTGCATAATTCAAGGTATACATTCTTTTTTGTTTTTTGGCCTCGCTGCGCAGCTTGTGGGTTCCCTGACCAGGGATCGAACCCAGGACCCCTGCTGTGGAAGTGCGGAGTCCTAACCACTGGACCGCCAGGGAAATCCCAAGGTATATATTCTTAAAGGGATAAATGGAAAGAGTTCTCAGGGTGCATATATCTACCGCCATGTGTTGTTGTTTTGTTTTTAGCTACTTTTTAGTTTCTCAGGATTATCTCTGGTATCGTACAGGTGGCTTGTAAGTCAGCCACCGGGTGTATCGTGTTGTTTGTCTGGCTTTCTTCACAGTGTTTTATCACCTCTGACTCTCACCCTGAACTTGTTGGCTTTGGCGTATTTTTCGGCACTGGTCCAAGTACTGCTCCCTAAGCAATGGGTTTGGGAATATGGTTATAGGGTAGAACCAGCTTGCAGGAACATCTTATTCCTGTATAAGATGCAAACAGAAGAATGCACAGATCTTAAGTGTACAGCTTTCAGCAGTTTTACAAACTGAACACAGCCTAGCAACTGGCATCCAGTTCAAGAAGTAGAACATTTCCATCGCCCAGAAGCTCCCTTCCAATCACCACTCTTGTAAGGGTGACCATTATTCTGACCGAAACATCGTAGGTTTGTTTGCCTGAATAAACCGGATCGTAAGCGATAATATCAGAGAAGGCCAAATTAACAGCCCAACAGTCACCAAAATTACTGGCCACAGTCCCAGTGCATGCAAACAACGTGGGGCTTTTCAAGACACGGATAAAGGAGATGGAGCCAGGGCTTCTTATTTTATGCAAGGGACGTGTTCCTGAATATCTCATGTAATGTAAACTCTCCTAACTCAGGTCTAGTTTTCTCACTGAAATAACTGTAACCTAGGATTCCCGTGACTTCACATTTGGTCCTAAAGTGAGACTTATTAACGTCTTTAACATTGCCCAATTTCTAATTTAGCATAATTCCAATCCAGACACTCCTCTGAACACAACACTCCCTGAACTCTCCCTGGGGCTGTGAGGGACCACTTTTAGCATTTCTGGGACCCCGGGGCCCAGCTATGGTGACGGGACGGGACCCTGGTTCTGGGGGCAGCACACAGGTCCTGAAGTCCGGCTGCCCACATCCCAGCCCTCCCTCTGCTGTTCCTTGCAGTGTGACTCTGGGTAAGGTCTTACCATTCAGGGTCTCGGTTTTCTCATCTGCGAATCGAATAGGGATGTGCTCGGGGGGCTCATGAGAGGAGGTAATGAAGGAAAAGCACACAGGAATTACTGGAGGTTTTTTGGCACCAATCCCGGCTGAGTGGGAAAAGCCTGTCCTCCTGCCTCTCCCCGCACCGCCTCCTACGCAGCTGGGAGGACTTTACTCCCCCCGGAGAGCAAAGCCATTCAGCCGCAGGCTGGGGTGTCTGGCGGCTGAGCCCCAGTGAAGCCGGGCCCAGGCTCAGATGCCAGGGTCACAGGCCTGGATTGGGCAAGAGCAGAGATCGGCCCCTCTGATCCCGGTCAGGGATATTTGGAGACACCACCAATTCTGGGAAATTCAGAGGCAGGAAGTGAAAGGGGGGAGGGGCAGAGGGGAAACGGCAAACTGCACCCTGGCCCCTCCTGGCCTGGCCCCCTCCCAAACGGTGCCATGAGTGAGGTGACCGCATACAAGGAATGGGGACAGACCGGGGAGACTCCCCACCCCTGGGAAGAAAAGAAGAGGCAACCCATCCCCCTCTCCCAGCCCCACACCCCAGAGTTCCAAATCCAGTTCTACCTCTGTTTACGTCCAAAGTCCCAGGCACTGGAGATGCCAGGTTTGGTGTGTTTGGACACATAGACACGCAGACGCACAGACAGGCAGACGCACAGGGCTCAGGGCCCTCATATGGACCCTGCCCCCTCCTCTCCCACCACCCAGGGCTGTCTGCGCACCCTAATCCTCCAGGCTTCAGCCCGTTTCTTAGCCTGGGATCTGTGCAGCATCGAGGGACCCAGGAGTCAACCTTGAGACCTTCAGCAAGTAAAAGGGGAAGAACGGCTGTGGGGGGTGACTAACTGGGGGGTGGGGTGGGGGAGGGGATGGAGGGGCCCCATGTCAGGAGGGCTGGGGATGGAGTGGGAAAACTGTAGAAGACAGAGTTTGGATGTCAGGCCTGGGAGGGAATGGGAGCAAGAAGAAAGGTCTCCTGCTGATCACCTAGAAAGGGACTGGACCACACACCCCAACTCTGTTCAGCCGTAGCCTCAGCCCTAACCCCAGCCCTGACCTGGTCCCAGGTCCAGCCAGCCCTACCATGACAAAGGAGTACCAAGATCTTCAGCATCTGGACAACGAGGAGAATGACCATCAGCACAGAAAAAGTGAGGGGAGGCCTCCCCCCATTTCTGAAAGGCGAGCATTAGGTGGCTCTCGCTCTCTCCACTCAGCTCCTGCTTCTTTCTGTAACCCCGACTCTCCCTGGTCTGCCCCACTCACAGGGACACAGCATCTGAGCCGCCCCTCTTAGGGGAGGTGCAGGGTGTAGGGCTGGATTTCCTTTCTTGGTGACGGCTGCCCCCAGGCTTCTGCATGACCCTCCTGTCCCTCACCTTGTCACCGACTTCTCAGGACCCTGGGGACGGGGGCGCCCAGGGCCGTGGGACTAACTGGAAGAAGTTAGGCCTCCTTCTTCTTTCCTCTTTCAACACCCTGTGAGCCTTGGCCAACTGTGTGAGTGTGTGTGAGTGCATGGGTGTCAGGGATCAGTTTGGTCAAGGGGAAGATTTCTGGGACGGCTCTGAGGGATCTCTGATTGGGGGAGGATGAGGCTCTCTTACATCAAAAAGCAAGCCCCGGGCTTCCCTGGTGGCGCAGTGGTTGAGAGTCCGCCTGCCGATGCAGGGGACGCGGGTTCGTGCCCCGGTCCGGGAAGATCCCACGTGCCGCGGAGCGGCTAGGCCCGTGAGCCATAGCCGCTGAGCCTGCGCGTCCGGAGCCTGTGCTCCACAACGGGAGAGGCCACAACAGTGAGAGGCCCGCGTACCGCAAAAAAAAAAAAAAAAAAAAAAAGCAAGCCCCCTTTCTTTCTCCTGCGAGCAGGGATGTTGCTTCGGCTGAGCCAGGATGAAGTTCTTGGTGGATGGGAGTGGGCAGCGACCTTCGATGGGGGAAGGGACTGCCGGCAAAAATGGAGGGGAAGCCCCCATATTCCAGCTCACTGGGACAGGGCTCCCGGGTGGGAGCAACTTGAGGGACCTGAAGTCTGGCTACTCCGCCTCTTTCCCTGTGCGCAGCCAAAGAGGAGTGGGATTCGAGGGGCGACCAAGAAATCCACTGCTCTTGCCCCACCTGCAAGACGCCCCCCCCCCCCCCCCCCGCCCCCAGTCTCCTCCAGCTCGCAAACTCCGTCCATCCTCCAGGCTGAGTTCTGAGGCTGCAGTGACTCAGCCAGGCCAGCAGGTGTCAGCAAAGGCCCAGGGCCTGGGTAGGGCTCCGGCGGGTCAAAGCTTCGCGCCTTTCCCCACCTCCGGTTGCCGCTGGCTTCTCCGGGCCGCCCACCGCCCAAACTTCTTCATGTATAACGTTCCTCCTAGTCGGCTAGAGGAGGCTCAGACTGCCCTCCTTCTAGGACCCCAGAGCTGCCCCAGGCTCCTGATGCCCTCTCCTTTTGCAGGGCCGCCTCCTCCCCACTCACTCTTTCGGCGTCTCTGCTCCGGACCCAGCCTCATCCTGATCTCCATCGGCCTTAGCCTCTTGCTGCTGGTGGTTGTCTGTGTGATCGGATCCCAGAGTGGGTTCCCTGGGGGTGGGCTGGGAAGGGAGCAATGTTGAGGGTGGGTGGGTAGGGGACGTGCTGGCTGCTGTGATGGTTGACACAACCTCCTAATTTTGTCCTATCCACACCCTCTTCTGCCCAGACTCCAAGCTGCAGGAGGAGCTGCGGGCCCTGAGAGAAACGTTCAGCAACCTCACAGTGAGCACGGAGGCCAAGGTCAAGGCCCTGAGCGTCCAGGGTGAGGAGGGCTGGGGCTGGGGGGGCTGGGAATGTAGGGACATTGGGACACTGAGCAAGTCTCTC